TATGTATATATATACATGTGTACCTAATTAGTCTGGAAACAGTAAAAATGTTATACTAGAAAATTTATGAAACTGGCTTTTTAAAACAGTGCTTGGCACTTTACATCTTTCTTACTGAACAGACTGCAAATGCAGACTTGACTGCTCAGTCAAAAACAGTTTTTTGAATAGTGGGAGTTTCATTTTAGTACTGGGCCCTTTCTTCACATTGTGCCGATGCTGTGTTAAGCAGTAACACAAAAAAATTAGTGATGTAACTATAAAAGGTGTTCATAAATAGAAAAGTTAATTCATTCATTATTTCATGCTTTCAAAGCTGAAGGAAACACAGATCAGAAAAAGAATATATATCATAGTGGTTTGTTTTCACAAATGATTACTTTTTTTAATTGAAAATGTTGGTGAAATCAAGGTTTATTGAATAGTATTCATACACAGAGTAATTCAAACTGCAATAATTTCTGCTGTCATGTGTCTGTGTTTTAATAAAGGGCAGGTAAATTGACAAGTCAGCAAGGAGACGGTATAATAGCATTTCTTGAGTGAGATAGAGCTTGCGTAGGAAGAGAAGGATATTGCTGTTTCTCTGTAATTTTATTTCTGTGATTTCCTTTCTGTAATAGATTGCGTAGGCTCCATATATTTTTAATACTTCATAATCAGGTGGGAATTTCAGCTAAGTTACAAAAGGCACTCTTACTAAATAACAAGACAAAATCTGGGTGTAGCATTTCTAAAGAAGAAAATAGGAGGGTAGATTTTGTGTGTGTGTGACAGATCTGGAACTAGATAGCTGTGGGAATTTTCTGAAGTCTTTATCCCCTTGATGTTCATCAGCGAGGTGAGAAGGTGTTATGACTCTTCTAAGTCATTTACATGCTGCATTAACAGAAACTAAACCTTTTATTTCATGAGTATCCTTTCCATATGCACTGTGATGAAGAAACTTTTTGCTTCTAGAAAAAGAAGAAGCATGAGTGTGTTGCATCCCTGTGGGAGCACACTGAGAATATGAAGATGAGAACTGTAAAATCAGAATAGTGTTCGATATTAGTGCACTTTCCCCCTCCTGTTAGATATATTCTGATTTTGTTCCAGTAATATTTAATTCTTGTCATCACATTCTCCTAAAATTATTATTTGTTATTCCAGAGAGTCCTTATCTGTCACACAAAGTTTGCATTAATATTGCAAATCACCTTACTCTTGCTGTCTAAGAAACAAAAGGCTCATCCCGTGTTTGAGTGGGGTTTGATAACTGACATGCATGCCCAGCCTCACCTCTCCTCCCTCTCTGTCCAGAAGTAATAATCCAGGAAACGCCTTCTTTTTCCTTCTTTTTTTTTTTTCTTAATTTTTTTGGTGCTTTCAGCAATGGCTGCTCCTCTTTCTGTTCTTCGTGGACATTAACTGCATCTTTCCAGTGTGGATGAGGATGCTGTCCCCTTGTGGATGATGCTCACAGTCTTAGCTGCTGCCTGCAAAACTGAGCAGTGCCCTTCAGCCAGTTTAAGGTGGTGTCTGGTGCAGTGCATTCATTTAGCATTACTAAAGGACAAAATTAAGGTTCTTTTTGTATCTCATGCCCCTGTCAGCTAAATCTTTCCCAGAAAAGAGGCAAAGCTGAGGTCATTTTTTTCCATCTGTGAGGGGTCAGTGACTGCAACAGTCGTTCCTGGCTGAGGCATAAGCCTGTTAAAAAGCACCTATGCTAGCAGCTGAATCATTTTCTAGGCCAATTTTTTATGTTTCAACTAATGAAAACAGCTGGGTCATTAAATCCAGCAATCGATCTCCAATTATAACCTGTCTTGGACAGCACGGCGCCCTGCCCCGCCAGGTGCCCTCCCCGCAGACAGACCTTCGGCCTCTGCCTCTGCCCTGAGACACCAATTTGCTGCCCCATCCCACAGCCACTTTCTTGCATTTCTAGGAGCACAAATTCCTCCCCAAAATATCACTGCCATGGCACGGGGGCTAATTGTGCCGTTCGGCATTCAGGGTGCTGTGTGGACCGAGGCCACTCCACATTCGGTCTTTCCAGCTGGGAAGCAGATCTATGGTTAAAAAAGGTGTGGTTCTGCTTGGAAACAGAGGCAGTGTGTGCAGGCAGTGATGTAACTGTAAATCTACCGGGGTTTTCTTTCATTATTATTATCTGGGTCTATCAAGAGAATAAATCAAATTTAAGAGACCAAAATTCCAGATACCTGCTACCTGGATTCTTTCTTTCCTCCTGAGAAAGTGAGAGTACGATATGTGGCAATTGATGGAGCATTTTTATGAAAAGCTTTTCGATCTTTTCAGGGCCTGCACAGGAATTAAAAAAAAGTTAAATGGTTGACATTTAATCTTCATACAGAGAATAATAATTACAGGCAAGAATTTAAAGTGGTTCTGCTCGTAGTCAAACCTGATGGTTCTTTTCTCCTTGCATTTCATGAGGATTTACTGTACTGTGGATGCAAAATGTAAATGATGGGCAATTCCGTGAAATTCAGACATGCACACAAAACTGTCTTTCCAACTTTTTCACACTTACCCTCAAACTGAAAATGGATTTTCCTGGTGGCTGATTAACCAGAAATGAGTTGTTTCTAACTAGGTTGAGGGGAGGAGGATTCTGTAATATTGGATTAGTGAAAGGAGTGAACAGCTTCAGTTTAATTCAACTAGTCTTCTATTTTTAATCTCCAAGGAAACAGCTGAGTTGAATGTTAATTAAACAGCAGTCTTTGATCCACCCAGCCACTCCCGGAGGCATAATAATAATATATAAGGGCACAGCAGCAAATATATAATAGGTACACTTAAAGGAGTGCATCTAATCTCACCATATCCACATTTAAAACATTTCTTGCTGACCCACTCTTATGTTATTTAAATAGGGGAAGGGAAAAAGAGGGGGAAACGCTAAGTAAGTTAAACTTTGATGGTCTGAAGGTAGGGCAGCAGAGCAAGTGTGAGTTCCTATTTTGAGGATGTATAAGGGTTAATGATTAGAAGAGTGGAATCAGGAAAGACCTTAAGCCCAGATCTATGACAGTGGTAATTGAGCTGATTGATTACGACATCTCGTTTCAGACGACTATTGATTTAATCTAGTCTGCAGTCCCATTGGCCCCAGAGGTGCTCCCGAGTGAGGCTCAGCACTTGAACCTGGGTACTCTTCCCTACTCACCGTCTGGATATAAATTTCCAGAATCTGCAACCATTTATAATTTTCTCTCATCTTCATGCTTTTATTCAGGAGCTTCTAATTTCATCAGGCTAATGTTTTTAACCATTGAGGGGACAGACACAGGGAAAATGAAATGGCACAGACTGAAAAGGGTGTGTGTTTTTTTTTTTTTTTTTTTTTTTTTTAAAAAAAAAAGGCAAGGCAGAGAGCCGGGGCTATGTGGCTAGTATTTGCATCTGTTGTTTCTGATTCGCAGAGCTAGCAAAGGCTGCTTTTGGAGGCAGTCCACAAAGCTGGGCTATCAGTAGGCAGTTTGCTGTACGCGCACGTTCAATTATTAAAATAGTAGACTTTTTTTTTCTGTCTGATAGCCATAGCGAGGTCATGACATTAATTTATCCAGGGTATTGTGGGTAACTATACAGAAAAAAAAGCATAAAGGGCACAGATGCTGGAGCAGCAAAAAATGGATGGGTCTGAGCAAAAGGAGATTAAGAGGCGATGACCAATCTAATGTACGTATAGCAGTAAGAAGCCGGCATCCGTCACAGACTGTTGATGGCAATAAGTATTTTAAGCCATGCTGTGCATGTGGTAATTTTATTTTTTTTTTCATACCTCAGTAAATGCTAAGCTGAATGCTGTAATCCTGTATTTTTTCAGTTTCCCAAATCTGATTTTGGTCTTGTTTTTGTTGTCTCATGCTTGGCGTTCTTCGCTCGCTCTCTGTCTGTGGGTGTGTGTCTGTCTCCGTCTCTCCCTTTTCACTGAGATTACAAACTTAACTGTTTCCTAATTGTCTACGTTCCTCCGTCCTTTTCCTAAGAAATTAATTGCCATCACCACGGCCGGTCATAAGCGCATACTAGCTGGGCTTAGGGCGTGGACCCCGTCATTTTGGCTTTCTGTCTTTACTTCGGGGCTGCGCGGTGTTTGCCTTTGGACCTTTCCTGCAAGTGGATGCCCTTCGCGTTTGCTGCTGCCCTAAGGTTGCCAAAACCTGGCTACCTGAGCCGGGACTGCGGTGCAGCACTGCATCCTGGGACTTGCCCGCCCGGCTACGCCGAGTGCTTCTACGGCACCAGGCAGCTCTGAGAATTGGCTGGCGAATTGCGTATCACCTGTCCCCCCCTCTGGTAAATAGTTTTTATACCGCGAATCACAGTGGCGTGGTATTGTCTGGAAAAGTAATTCCCAAATACTGTTGGCGTAAAAAAGGGAAAAGCCGAAAGACTGTCAACACCGTAAGTCATTAAAGTCCCTTGCCTTAAGAACAAAGGAACAAGGTAAAACTGCACACAATAATTATGCTCTGTGGATTTTCATAGCCTGTCAGACAACTTGTGCCTGTGTTTCAGTTACCAGCCTTTGTGCTTTGTTTTGTGTTGTGTATTTTATATACGCGTCTTGAGTTTCTCTGTGTGTGTGTATTTGGTGTACGTGTATGTGTTCAGGCTTCTCTACCAACACGGAGCAAATACCATACAGAAAAAATACACAAGTGTAGCTCAAACATGCATTTTCAGGACTCAGTGTGGTGGTGAGAGTGTATTGCCATTGTTCTCTCTCGCAGTGCTCTCTCTGACGCAAGCAGCTTCTATTTTATATTTTATTTTAATTAGGAAGTCTAAAAAAAATAATAATAATTAAAAGAAAAAAAAAAAAGGAGTAAAAAAAAACTGGCTTACTCCAGTTAAATGCCAACTGAAGTCCAGAAACTCACGGTTTCAGCACAGTGAATGGTGATTCAGACCCTGGCAGGGTTTTGGCTATGAGACAATTCCTACTTATAAAGAGCACAATGAAGGGGGGGGGGGAAGATAGCATTAATTTTGAGGAAGATTAATATTAGTCTTTTAATGTTCATTATTTTCTGAAGAAGTGAATCCTTGTAGCTTTTGAGAGCTAACATGCCCTTCCCACTGGTATTTATTCGAGCAAAGGAAAAAATGAAGAAGGCGTAGAATAAACTCCTAAGACTGTTCAAGAATTACTGGCATTATTTCTCTCTGCATCACGTGTGAGCCTGGGTTGCCTGCTATTCCTGAGGCAGAGGATCGAGGATGAAAGTCTGTGTGTCAGAGCCTGTTTTCACAACTGCATTTGGAGATCTGTCTTATTGATTAGGAAAAAAAGGGGGTGGGAATAGGAGTGTGAGGTGAGGGGAGGACCGACTGACTACTGGCTTATTGCAGCTCAAGACATTTTCTTCCGGAAAGATGTCAAACAACTGAGACACAGCAACAGAGGAAGTAGAAAGGTGGAAAAATAAGAAGAGGGACCCTTTGGAAGAAATGAAGGCATTCCTTATGAGAGCCTTGAGGTTTTTTTGGTGTTTTTTTTTTTTTTTTTTTCTTCTAACATCTGACCCACAAGGGCTAGAGTGACAGCGTCATGCAAATGCTGCAGTCCAGCAGGTCTGAGAGAGGGTGGATGCTAGAGAGTGAGTTAATGTTAATGATGAGTGCAGTGAAAATACCAGCCGATACCACCCCCTCCACACACAACTGCTCTGAGTCAGCATCCGCTGCTTTGCCTTGCCTTTTTGTGCGTGCGTGTGTGTGTGTGTGTGTGTATGTGCGCGCGCATGTGTATGTGTGTGTGTGCGTGTGTGTGCTGGTGACTGTGTGTGTGCATGGAAGGTAAAGCCAGTCAGTCAGTGAGAAGCAAAGGTACGTTCGAGAGCAACTAAAATCTGACTGATTTCCATCTTCAGAGCATCAGATGTATTCCCTAAAGAGGATGGGTCTATGCGATGGGGGTGGTATAATTATGTTAATGTCATATTTATAGAGGGGAGAGATTTTTCATTCTAATTATTGATTTGAAAGCTGTGGTCAAAATTGTTTGTTAAATCATGATCAGCTTTAAAAAAAGAAATTGAATGAAATCTAGGGGCTGCTATACATATATATCTCTCTCATATATATATATTTTGTTTCATTTAACTATTTTGTGTCTGAGGCATAACTGATTGAATGGTGCACAGTGACAAAGAAACGGCTCTTATATAATGTTGCATTATATCATCAGCTGAAATAATATTTTAAATAATCCAAAATGTTCTGAAATCTGAAGTATCAGTGTGGAGGGGAGGGTGAAGGGCAGGGTGGGGGTGGGGGGCACTGGCAAATCTTTTCTTCGGCAGAGTGCTCTGTACAGCTTTCTTGTAAATGGATGATTCACCTGTTCGACCAGCAGAGATTCTAATTCTTCCCCCCCTCTTCTCTTTTTTTTTTTTTTTTCCTTTTTAAAGCTGAACGGCTTCCCGAAGAGCACTGAGTTTTCTATGCCAGATTCTGCTCCAGTGGCTAGGACCTTTATGGCTGCTGTTTCTTTTGCTCTGGGATCTGATGGAGAAAAAAAAAAAAAAAAAACCACGGTGGATCCTGTCCCTAAAGTAGAAATTTTCTTTTTCATTCTGCAAACAAGGCTAAAGATCGGAGGAGAATGAATGCAAAAGTAATTCAGGATTGTGGTCGTGCCATTAAAAGTATTCGGCTTCAGAACAAAATCATTCGGGAAATCCGAGCATTTCTTCTTTACTGTATCGACAGTATTTGAAAGTTATGTGTGCTTTGAGTAATCTGGTTCAAGTGACAACAATCTCTGCATGTCAATGTTTTCTGCAGCTTATGGAGTGAAGTTTAGTTTTGCCATTGGAAAGGAAGAAGCTTTTTGTAGCAGTCTGTAGAAGGATTAAATGTTGAACGTGGGGAAGAGGCAAAAAGTGAATACATGCCCAAAGGTTATCCTTGCATCGTGAATGGGTTTAAAGTACTCTGCAAACCAGGGCCCACCTGAACAGTACGACTGAAATTATAATGGGGAAATATTTCAATTAGAAGCCCCTTAACAAGCATTTAATCCTTCTTTCAGGCATTAAGGAAAATATAATAAAATTGTTACTGTACAAATCTGTTGGAAGCAGATTTTAACCCATTTATAAGAGGCTTCCCTCTATTCCCCCCTGCATTATAATAATACGACTGCTTGCAAGATGAGGCAGTGAAGATTTTTTTTTCCTGTGTTCTTTGTTTTTGCTTTTCAAAAGTTAAGGACTGTACTCTCAGAAAAGTCTGATCGGTCAGCTGATACATTGTTTGAATGTATGTATGCGTCTTGCCTGCTTATTTGATCTTTTCTGCCCCCTACTTGAAACTGTGATTTGTCTATCTGGGGGGAAGGAGGGGTTGCTGATTTGGGGGGGAGGTTGTTTTTAGGGTTTGCTTTGGGGTTGTGTTTTTTGTTTTTTTTGTTTTTTTTTTTTTAACTATAGCAGTGAAAGTTTTGCTGACAGCGGTTATGACTACTAAGCAGTTCAGTTTATTGGAAGATGAATTCTACTGGACCATGTCGGACTTTTCCTAGTCCCTGAGACCCTAACTTGTGAGGTTTTTTAGCAACAATCACAAGTCAGGCTCTTGGGACCTAGGCGGAGGGGAACCAGCAGCTTTGGACTGTGATTGTTTCTCTGCAGAATTTAGAGAACCAAAGGAGCTTTCCTTGTCTTGAAGGGTAAAAAGGAAAATATACTTATTTCAAATGTTAAGAAACACAACTGTTCCTAAAAGAAAAAAGAAAAAAAGAAAAAGAAACTAAGCAACTGTTATCCATTGTGCAATGTTAGGAAGTTACATATTTATATGTTTAGAAAATTGGTCTAAATGTCACGTAACATTTAGGATTAAAATTTAATCTGAATACCAGTTTGCACCTAAAGAAAAAAAACAAAACAAACCCAACAACAAAAACAATTCCCACTCAAAACTGATACTAAAATATACAAAAGGCTTCTAACCATAATATTATTATTATTATAGAAAATTCTGATAATTACCACAAAGTATAGAGTCATCCTGACTGTTGCAGCATTAACTTTTAAAACATAAAACAAAAACACTGATGTTTGAGGCCTAGAAAACATTCATTCTATTGTTTGAATAATGATTTCAGTCTACAGGAAAACTGTTGCTTAGCTTTTCCTGTAACATGGGACAAAGAGTATTTTGTAGTTAATTGCCATCTTTTTTCTTTGTCCAAGTGAGAACACAATATGGCATTTAAAATATTCCCTCATTTAATTTACATTTTAATCTGATACTGAATATTGGTTTAAAAATCATATTACAGCATTAAAATCACTTTGCACCCAGAATCACTTTCTTGTACCAGTTCAACTTGAAGGGTGCCACCCATACTCTAAGTACCAGTCTCGACTTCTAGCTTCTCCATCACTTTTTGCATTTTTCACTCCTCTGACAAAAAGCAGTGTGAGCTTTACATTGTCCCTCATGTGTTAAGTACTCCACTAACTTTGCATAAGAAGATTCACAAGCACACAAGGTATTTCACAAGCAACACTGTTCATTAAACTCGAACTTCCTATCTACAACACAGAATTTGATTTGTATTTCTTAATATTTTATAGGCGGGTTAGTTCTGAGCAATTTTTCTCTGTTTCCTGTGACTAACCAACATGCTGCAAGACCTTGTTGATACATCAGACTTCACTGAAACAAAGACTTCACACAGATCAGGCATCTAAACTATTTGTTCATTTCAGAACTGGTATTTTGGCTGCAGTATATTTTTTCCACTTGTGTGGGAGGAATTGTGTTTTATTGTAAGCATCAACACTATTGTTAAAATAAATTGTTCTTATCTGTTAGTATAATACTTTTTCTTCTTGTCTTGTTTTCTTAAGAGACAGAAACTGTGCACTGTACATAGTTTTCAAGTTGCTCAAGATATAATTAGTCTTTAAATAGTCATAAAAATATTGCCTTAGCAATTACAATGATGATACTGTTCCTGTAAATATGCAATTCTTTTCTTTGTAAACTGTCAGTCCCACGTGCTAAGAACACCCAAAAGAGCTACTTGCAAAAATTTAGATACAGAGGTAACTTTTTAGCACAGACATGATATTCAACATTGACTCCTGTTTCAAATACTCCAGTATTTGAAAAGCAGATCTGAATGTGTTCTGGAAAGGCGAATGCACCCAGCTAGGTGCTACTCTCCTAAAGCCCTTCAGTAGCAATTGACATGTATTCTGTACAGCAGTTTTCAGCCCTGAAAACAGATTATTTAGGATACTGATCAGTTGAACAGGTATTCTGTTCATTCAAGCTGTATAATGAGATAAAACCATCTTGCGTGTTAGTATATACATGTCAATATGCAATTTAAATTATTCATAGTATTTATCAAAATAAAAATCCTTATAGGTCTAATCAGCTATATGGTGCACGTCTCTGCATATTAAAGATTTTCATGGCATTTATTTTTCAATCGGCAAAATTTACTTGAATGAGGGTAGTTCACATTCAGCACTCTGAATTCGCTTTGCATTTAACACTGTAAGTGCAGCGAAGGTGAAACTGTAGTGTGAAACATTTTGTCTATCAGCCTGAAGATTTCAACTATGCTCTGCTCTGCACTGAAGATGAGAAGAAAATGAATTATTAGAAACTCCTGCCTAGTGTATTTGCTGCTACAGCAAAAGCTGTAAATATCTAGTCCTGCCTCTGCATTACTGCTTGAACTGGGATGACTCCAGTGGCTCTGGTCTGCCCATCGTGCTCAGTGCTGCCCCTTGGCACAGAGATGAAAAGGTTGGTGCTTCCCCATCCTCTTTTCCTCCTCCCTCTTCTTCCCCAGTCCTGACACAGCCAAGCCAACCTCAGGTACACAGGTAGGGCAGAGGTGGATGAAAGGGAGGGAGAATCACGGTCTTCACTGGGGCAGAATTCCCACCAAGACCAACAAGATGTAGTCCTGGGACTATGGGACAATGCCTACAGACACCACACAGAAAGCAGTCTTATTTACCCTGTGACAGTATATGAAAGCTGTCTCCATTAGCACAGATAAATAGAAAGCATCATCTTCAATATGCTGTGCGTAGATATATGTACAGAATTTCAATATACTCTCATTTCTATATGACTTGATGTTGTTTCAGTTCAAAATGCATTTAAATGCTATTTAATATGTGATTTCAGAGTAATCAGCTTGTGCTACAACAAAAACAAAAAACCAAAACACAAGCTCTTGCAAAGGGGGAGGAAGAGAGAGGGAGAGAGAGAGTGAAAATGATGTGTGGTGCATACAAAAAAGGAATGATATTAACAATTCGATGAATTCCTAGTTGGTAGACCAGACTGAGCCAGACGCATATATTAACGGCTGTCTGCTGCTGATGTGAGCCTGCTCAATGCGGTGGAAATGAAGGATCACCTACTCCCTGACACCAGCTTATTTGTACGTTTTAATTTTAAAAAGGAAAATCACTGTTTTACATAAACATCTTAACCCCTACGTGATTTTTTTTCTTTTTTCCTCTCTCATATTGTTTGCTAATTTACTGTCAACCTAAAGTGCTGTTTAGCTACAGCCCAACAAAAACATCAGTCAAAAAGCAGAGGGAAGTATTAGCTTCTCTTTTGTCTGCCATGTACAATTGAGTTATTATTATGATAATTGTCTACTTTAATTTTTAGTCTTCATGGGAGATGCAACAATTTTCCAGAGCTTCATTTTGGAAGCATTTTAAGTTTCAATAAGATACCATTTCATATTTAACCCAAATAATAACATTTTTTAAAAAAATATGCTTATAGATCAAGCTGGGGTGATTTGATCAATTCTTTTCATTAACCTGAAAGTCTTTAACACCTTAATATAATATTACATATATAGGACAGGACTCCTTTTCAAACCACATAAACTCTCGGATCCATTAATACAGTGCTGAAGACTGTTACATGAGTCAAGGGAATTCCACTCCAAGTTAATTACTGTTGGAATTAGAGGAAAGAATATTTTACTTGAAGTTGTATAACAAGAATCTACAATTATCACATTTCAGGGCATCGCTCTATTCATTTGATGAAAAATGTCAATGAAGTTTAACAGAAGATGTTCTGCATTTCCATGGGTAATGAAAATTGGCACGTTCACGATAAGCTAACACAACATTTTCGGTGTGTTAATATGCAGTGCAGAAGAAATTTCTGTAGGCAGTAAACGTAGCCATCATTTTGATTTGCCTGTGAGATGATTATGCTCAATTCCTGACTGGGTACATAATTTCACACCGAAAAGGAGTCATCTCCTCTTAGGGACCAACTGTAGCCTACCAAAAAAAAAAAAAAGACTCCTGCCTGAGGTCTTTAACTAGCTAGGTAGTCAGATAGATACAGACAATGGAAAAAAAAAATATCTGGAATACTATAAAAATGCCAGCTGAAACTGTATGTTGGTTTATTTATTATGTTCATATAAAGTATTTTTGTCCAAACAATGTATCTAAGACATTCATCACCTTGTTAAGTTTTTTCATTGTTTGATGATTACAATAGGCATCTTCAGAGTTTGCTGGATGCTGTGTCGTTCCACTCCTTGGCAACGCTAGAGTTATTCTTACACGGTGAGTCCAGCACTATTGACTGATGTGCAAAGCTATGCTTTAATTGCAGTGTCTGAGTAGCAACAAGTGGATGGAATATGGAAGCCTTGGAGAGTAAGTGAACGTAAGATTAATGAGATCAACCCTGATAAAATTATTTCATCTTTATAAACGTCTTTAACCTATTAAGTAGGATTTAAAATTAATCATAGAATCATCCAGTTGATTATAGACTAAAGTTTATCTGGTAGGCTTTCAGAAATGCAATCTTTATGCCCGTTCCTACTTATTTAGGAGTTAAGGATTAGTTGTAATTGTGTGATAAAGTAGATGCAGTAATGATACTTTGAACACTATGAATATCCTATAGGGGAAAAGGCAGATAATATTCTGTACTTTCCTTTTACTCATTAGCTGTTGCACCAATGCCGTGATTCTCTACAAGGAGCATATTCTTTATTTAAATGGCCTAGCAAATCAACAAGGTTGTGCTGAGTAGTTCAGGGCTGGTCATTTTGGTTTTGGTTTTGGGTGGTTTTCTTCCACCACCACCACCCCCAACTTCTTTTCTTGGATGTGTGCGTGTCATGCATGGGAAGGTATGAAGGAAAAACAGCTATTCAGCAGAGACACGTCCCACCCCTTTAATTAAGCTTTTCCCGGACTATGTAAAAACACTGGCAGTGTGTAAATCCCATTTGTGTGTTTGTTATTATTATTTTAACAGATTCCTAAGTATTATGTTAAGATACCTCAGTGATGAAATACATATGAAAATATGAAAATAGTTGCATTAGTAAGTCAGTGGATACCAAAAGGGTTGGATGGCATCGGCACAGTGCCAACTGGAAGATTTTTTTTTTCTTTTCATTTAATTCCTTTCACCTACTAGGCTCCCTAAGCATTAGGCAGAACCCAGTATGTGGCTAAGTTATTGCTCTAGTGTTCATCACACAAAAAGCACAGTCTTAGCATTTGTAAATTTTCTTCAGGGAGGTTTCTAATCTAGACAGCATTTGCGTTTGGGGATTACACCACAGTCTGTTCCCCACCACCTCCCCCTCTAACATGTAGCCCTTTCAACTTCTTCAAAGAAGTGGGTGAAAGTAGGTTCTTTTATTAATAGCAGAAAACAAACCGACTGCTGGACTTCCGTGGCAGAGCTCACATAATGCGGCAGGGTGGGAACTGTAACAAAGAATGCTTGAATGCACTAAACGTATAGTGAAACCCCATTTACATTCACTGATGGGGCTTAAAGTACAATAAATGAGAAGTTTAAAGTAGAAATAAGCAGGGCCGTGAAAAGACTTCGGTGAAGGTAAATACTTCTTGAAAAGTTTAGCACAGGATTTAATTTCAAACTTGAGCCTTTCCTAGTAGAATGCATTTCTTCATAATATATCCCTTCACTCAGAGCATCTCCATCAGATGATGGTAAATCAGATGGAGTGAGTATCTTCAATGCATAAAGAAGTAGATTCTGTTTATCCAATTTATATACTGATTTTCATACAAGTGAGACAGTTGGCAGTGGAAAAGTCTTCATGGTTCACTGTCTGTTCCCCTGTACTCTCTCTCCTCTGCAAACTGCCTTTGAAGTGTAAGGAACAACTTTGTGTCTAGAAATAAATTTGATTGTGATATCTTACCATAATTTCTAGCTCTCTATACTTCTAAAATGTTTCTGTCTGTGTTGGTATAGATACGCTGAAGAATTGGACAAGTTTGTTGCTTTCTCTCTGCTAAAGTTATTCCGTGAAATAGATTCACAATATTATACTGTGTAACTATCACCTCTCCCCTTTTCTTCTCTTCCAATATGGTGATCATCTCTTTGTTTTAGCCCCTTCCACAGCCCCACCTTAGGGCCTTACAAGATGCCAGCTTTGTTATCCTAAGAGTTTAAATGAGCCATGCTCCCATTTTTTGCATTTCTCTTCACAGTGGTCCTTCATCCTGAATATGAAGGATGTATAAATGGCACCTACTTGTAAATTTTTGCAGAATCTGCCTCTCCTCCCTTGTCCCTGTTCAGAAACAAAAAGCTGTCAGAGGTTAAGTTTTCAGTCGCTAGTTGCAGTTTTCCAGATAAAAGTCAACTTCTTGCTCCTTTTGGAGCATAATAGCCCTGCTCTCTGCGTGATTGGATCAGGGATTTATTTAATAACTCTGATTTGGGGAAGGTGGGCTATGGAATAACTTTCTGCTGCACTCTTCAGCAGAGGTAGTTTCTGCTAGTGATGTGCAAGAAACTTTTGCT